TGTTTCCGACGAAGGTATTGCACTGGTTAAATCTGTAATAGGCCTTTTCGATACATTGCAACAAAGTGGACCAGAACAAGTGGATATTCCAACGACTGGAGAATATTTACCCCCAACAGAACAGCATTAACCCTTAAGAGTTTGATAGTTAAATTATAATTTTTACCCACATATGTTATTATTCATAAATATAGAAAATTGTTTTATTAGTTGTTAATAGTTTTGTTTGCTTTTAAACAATTATTAGACTAAAATGTAGTTAGTAGGATTCAGTTTACATTCACCTAATGTCTCTCTTATTTTCTGAATGCGGACTTCCAAGAAAAAGCAATTACAATATTTTATAATTCCAGAGATTCTAAAACAAAAAAAAAAATCAGAAAAATTAACAAAAACTTTATTTAAAATGATAGTGAGAGTGTGATAAATATAACAAAATGTTGAGGGTTATTTCACGCAAATGTTAACCTTTACTGCCCCTCAAATGGTCCATCCGCATACTACCTCCAAAATTTCGGCCGTTATATTACAAATAAATACTTCAATATTGTCCTCCAGTGCGTGAATTGAAGCGTGCTCATCTGTACAGGGTAAGATAAAAAACTGCAACAAAGTCAAACGCCATAATTTTAATTTTTTTTTTAAATTTTATTGTATGAAAACAAAAAATTCGGAAATAGAATAAAATTTTAGAATAAGTTTAGGTTTGTTCGAATTGGTCACCTTTGGCAAGAATTGTTTAAGGTCTGCGGCTAAAATGTATGCGTGCCTAAAGCTTTAATACACCCTCCAGAATATTTTCGCGTTAATATTCGGCATTTATTCTGATGCCACGGTCGATTAATACGAGCGGAGAGGGACCGAAGGGTTGGAACAATATTGCCCATTTCGTATCTGGCTTAAGTCTGTTATAAATACAGCAACGTTCCGATCTCTGGTTGCGAGAAGTATTTATATAAAACAAGTTTGGAAAGAATCGTTGGCTCATTTCGCATGTTAAGAGTGATATAATTGTTCAAAATGTTGACCCTTTGTACAGGAACGAGAGGACCCATATATCACATATTCTCGCCAGATCTTGTGTATTGTATTGGGATGTGTGAAATTTGGAGGCAATTGGACCATTTTTTTATTTAAAGTTATAATTATTCCAAATTTTGACCATTTGGGGAGGAAGTTCTTGATGTAGTTGGCCGATATTGTCCGGTTTCGCACCTGATCTAGCATTGACAAGAACATTGGGATTTGCAAAGTTTTCACAAAATCGATTGATCCTTTCTCTTTCTATGAGGAAATTTATTTTCTGTGGAACTTTTTTTCTGAAGCGGAGAACCGGTGTTGCCCTCTCCGAACTCGACTTTACTTTTGACAACAATATTATGAAGTGCCAAGCTTGGACCAAATTGGATACTCCCTTCGAAAGCTATGGAGCGCACCAAACAGACAGACGTACGGACGGACAGGGAGAGATAAAATACTTTGACTTTGTTGCAGTTTTTTTTATCTCACTCTGAATTCGGAACATGAGAACATGATGAATAGTCGATTGTCGCTCTCCGCTCGTATTAACCGACCGTGGCATCAGTATATATACCAAATATTATCGCGAAAATATTCTAGAGGGTGTATTAAAGCCTTGCGGACGCATATATTTTGGTCTTAGACCTTGGACCAACATGACTAAGTACCATCGCACTCAGCACGCGCCACCCAAGAATGGTTACAAAATGAAGTTCCTCGCTTCATTTGTAGCGCACAATGGCCACCAAAATCTCCGGATACAATTGGACTATTGTGTCTGGAGTATTTTGGAAAGCAAGGTTGGCACTAAAAAATATAAAGTGTCGATCACCTCAACTAAGCGCTTCGCCGGGAATGGACCAAAATAATGCAGAGCAACATTCATGCAGCATGTGATGGTTTCATTGGCCTTCTGAAGGCCATAACTCGTGCCAAAGGTGACCAATTCGAAGAACTCTAAACCTATTCTACAATTAGATGATATTTCCGAAATTTTTTGCTTTCATTCAATAAAATTTGAAACAAGTTAAAAAGCAGTAAGTTCAGCCGGGCCGAGCTTTGAATACCATCCACCATTTGGAACGAATTTGGAAATTTTTTGGAAATTTTCCAAAAATAAAATCCATAAAAAATTCTGTTAAAATCCTTAAAATACCGAATATAGCCGTTATATTAGTGTCTGTACGACGTGGGCATACATAGGAACTCTTTGTTATAAGCCCTTACCATATTATAAACGGGTATAATGTAGCATCTTCAAAATACCGTATATAGGGGGGCACCGTTACATTCATACGAACTTCAAATACGACATCTCAAACAATTTCGATGAGTATTTTGCCTAAAATCGTCAAAATACCCAGTATAGGAAGGTGCTGATATATGGGACCTTTTCGAAGAACTGGACCTGTATAAACAATTGTGTGTCACAGACTGTAGTTCCCATTACGAACTCTAAAAACGTAAATTGAAACTACTCCGGTGAATAATGACGCTAAAATCATAAAAATACCGAATATTGGGAGGTACCGTTATAAGGGGCTTTAGGAAACGTGGACCGGCATAGACAATTTTCTGTCATAAGCTGTAGTATCCATTACGAACTTCAAATACCAAATTTGAAGCAATTCTGGTGAATAATATCGCTTAATTCATCAAAATACCGAATATCGGGAGGTACCGTTATATTGGGGCTATATGAAAACGTGGACCTCTATGACCCATATACGAACTTAATCTGCTTACTGGCAAAATAAACATGTGTGCAAAATTTTAGCCATCTCTCTCAATCCGTTCGAAAGATAGCGTGATTGCTACTATGGAGGGTATATTAATTTTGTCATTCCGTTTGTAACTCCTCGAAATACTCATGTCAGACCCAACAAAGTATATATATTCTTGATCAGCGTAAAATTCTAAGACGATTTAGCAATGTCCGTCTGTCTGTGTGTCTGTGTGTCTGTCTGTCTGTGTGTCTGTCTGTCTGTTTGTCCGTCTGTCCGTCTGTCTGTCTGTCTGTTGTAATCACGCTATCTTTCGAACAAATTGAGATAGAAGGCTAAAATTTTGCACACATGTATATTTTGCCAGTAGGCAGGTTAAGTTCGTAAATGGGCCATGTAGGTCCAAGAAATCATATAGCCCCCATATAACGGTACCTCCCGATATTGGGTATTTTGATGATTTTTGTGACATTATTCACCGGAATTGTTTCAAATTTGGCATTTGAAGTTCGTAATGGATACTACAGCCTAAGACAGAAAATAATCTATGTAGGTCCACGTCTTCGTATAGCCCCTATATAACGGTCCTCCCCGATATTCGGTATTTTGATGATTTTAGCGACATTGTTTACCGGAATCGTTTCAAATTTGGTATTTGAAGTTCGTAATGGATTCGTAATCCTAAGTCAAAAAATGAGCCATGTAGGTCCACGTCCTCATATAGCCCCCATATAACGGTACCCCCTATATTCGGTATTTTGATGATTTTAGCTACATTATAAACAGATTTTTCTTCAAGTTTCGCATTCAAATATTGTAATAACTTATGACAAAAGTTGCCTATGCAGGCCCACGTCGTCGTATAAGCATTCGGGATTCTTAAGATATTAACAGAATTTTTAACGGATTTTATTTTTTGGAAATTGCCCAATTTGTACCAAATGGTGGAGGGTATTAAAAGTTCGGCCCGGCCGAACTTACAGCTTTTTTACTTGTTTTATCTCACCCTGTATATATATGTTCTAATATATGTATATCAGAATATGATGAATAATAAATCTGGGATATGTGGTACATGTTTCAATTCATATTTCAATCTCATTTTAGAATAGATGCGTCAAAAATGTCAATAGACGTGTTGTTTTAGTGGAGGAGATATAGAAACTCAAATAAGGAAAGCGTCTTGGAATCAACCCAACAGGAAACAGTGCCAACTGGGATGGTCTGGGATGGTGGTGTAAAATTATTAAAAAATTAACAAATAAATATTTTATACCATTGCAAGAATCAGCTTAATATAATATTACTTTCGTAAACTTATTCTGCAATTACAAGTATAAGCTTATAAGTAAGAGTTCAATTTCGAATATTCTATATTTGTTAAATAAACATTTTTCAATATTTTCTCAAGACTTTTTCAAGCTTAAGACTTATGTTCTTAAGCTTATTTTAATATTATTCTCAAGCCATTTTGGTATGTTGGGTGTGTACAGTTTTTGTATGTGTATGTATTGTTTTGAATAATAAACTAAATAATTTTAAAAATTTTCAATTTCTGTTGAAATTTAAATTCATAGTTGCAGCTTTTGTGGAGAATATACGTTGGTATTTTGGGTTGAAAAAAATTGTAATCGTATTTTTGTCTTAAAAAATTGTCTAGAAAATTGTGAGAAAAGTGTTAAAATAAAAACCAACATATTGTTTTTGTTAAATTTGACTCTAGTTTCTGGGTTGTGTTTTTCAAATTTAATCATTCTACCCTACCTAGTAATTTTTACATCATGGATTGAAGGTTGTTCAGCAAACGTGATAGTAAATGGGGATGTTAAGATATCTCTAGTCTGCAAAATTCATATCATTATAATTCATCTGAATACGAAAATGATTTTAAAATTTAAAAATTAGCACCCTTGGTTTGTCTATGAATGTTTTTTGATATTACAATGAACAAAAAAACATCAACATCTCTTCTATAACATCTATATAGCTAAAGAATAAAGTATGACTTAGGTTGAACCAATTTTAAATAAATGCATTTCCAAACCTTAACTTTTAAATGTGATTGAGGCTTTCGGTTTGCAATTGGTTGCGGCAACAATGTATCATTTAATATTCGTGACCGGTCCATCATAGTTATAATTGTTTTTATTGTATCATTTGATATGTGATCACCATATGGATTCTCCATTGTATCTATCGCTTTAAAATAATGATCAACCAATCATTTATTATGGGCAGTAACTAAAATATTAATTATGTCCATATCTAGTATTGGGACACATAATGATGACCGGCAAAACTATTTGAAAGCATTAAGTTATCATAAAACAGCTAATAATTTCTGAGAGGTCTTCCACTCGGCAAGAGCCATGGCACAGCAAATCGATATGCAAAACTAATCATTAAATATATAAATGAATGCTAAGCTATTTAGAGCATATATAAATATTCCAACGAACATCACAAAGAAATATATTCAAATTTTGGCAGCCAACCGGGAGATACTTATTTTAGGAAGTAAAAGATTTAACAAAATTTACATGCAAACATGCGTAGCATTGTAGTAAGTAAACTAATAGTTATATGATTTGTTTTATATCTAATAAAGATCGTTTATGCACTTATCGCAGGTATTCTGTTTTTTGGCTTACGTAGCTGCAGCCCTTCAAGGTTATCACTATGCCGCACCACCCGGAGGACATTATTTGGCAGCAGCAGTTGCTGCAAACTCAATAGGCCTGGATAATACCGTTCAGCATGATGATCAGCAAGCTGTCGTCACAAAACGTTTCTTTATACATTCGGCTCCGGAGGAAGAGGAAACGGAAATCGAGCATCACGATATTGTTGTTGGTGTCCCACGTAAAAATTACAACATTGTATTCGTAAAAGCTCCAGTGGCTAAGAAACAAAAAACCAAAATCCGTCTTACTCCGGCCGTTCAGGAAGATAAAACAGCAATTTATGTTTTGGCCAAACAGTCGGATAAAACTCAAGTTGAAACCTATGTTGAGGAACCCCATACCACTACCTCGAAACCTGAAGTATTTTTCATTAAATACAGGACAAATGAAGAAGCTGAACATGCTCAGCATAGTATTAAGGCAAAATATGAAAGTTTGGGTGGTTCCACCAGTACATTGGACGAGGGCATCTCTCCGGTGTCGTCGGTTATAGGAAGCTTAGATGGCCATAGCACAAATTCTGGGTCTGCAAAATATCTACCACCAGTGAGAAATCATTAAAATAGTCTATATATATTTATAGTTGTTATTGTTACACGTAGTTAATAAATATAAATATTTAAAAGTCAAAAAAAGTATAGATGTGAAAAATCCAATCCATTGGTTCGAGTTTCAATAATCCGATCATAACTTTCACTGGGGTATAATGATTTTATTGATCAATTTGAAAGACTTTTAACCAGTGACAGTTCTAATCAATTCTATTTGGTACAGATTATATGAATCGAAAATAAATAACTAATAAGTAAGCAAAGGCTATAGTCGTGAGGGGCCGACTATGTGATACCCTACAACACTACAATATATTTTAAGCTTCCTTACGTCCAAATCCGTTTTGAAAGATTTCGCTTTTGAAATTTTGTCACGGATCACTGCCCAGATATTAACCTTAGCATATTCACCAGGGATATTTGCCCAATATTTATGCACTCCCTCGTGCTATTAGTTGTTGTGGTCCATTATTATAATCCAATGGTCATCCAAAATGCTAGAATTCTTACCTGTCCCTAACTCTCTGCTCAGGCGTGTCGATTGGCTTCTGATGAGGTAATCGTTTCTGTATAGGTTCATTTGAACCCTAAATATTTTATCATTTCCAAAAGCAAGAGGCCTCTCTGTATCTCTAAATTTAGACTCATCTATATGATTTACTTGTCTACGATGTTTGACTATATTCATCAAGGAAATCAGCATAGGAAGCCAGAAGTTCGCCTTTTGTGTATTTTGAATTCGCCTGTAAATAATGATGGTATTTTTCTACACAAAAGTAGTGGCCCATTCTACCCGCTGTCCTAAACTCAACTCTAACTACCCGCTGTCCTAAACTCTAAATCAGGAACATTTTCTGTTGTTGGTTCATTTCAACCTCTAAATATATGGCGGACATCTTTGAAAACAATAGACCTAGCCCTTCTGAGCCTAACCCTACCTTTGTGAAAAATTTCGGACGATAATTGCAATCTGTATAGAATAACCCCAACCTGTGTTGTAAGGTGAAAAAATATTACAAAATGTACTCTTCAATATTATAAGTCAAAATGAAACCAGTAAGGAAAGCTCAAAAGTCGGGCGGGGCCGACTATATGATACCCTACACCACTATGCATATTTAGTAGAGCTCTCGTAAAAAGGTTTATACAGGGCATTTCAGAGCTCTATGAGATATTTGGTACAAAATCAAAATCTATCTAATTCTATCGTGCATTTTACGAACTATAGCTATCTCTGAACCGGGTTTCTCCAAATTTTACGTATTAGCTTCTAGACTGGTAATTTGGGCTGATATTGACCATTTAGTGCACATTTAACCCCAAATCGGATGAAGATATATATGAGAGCTATATCCAAATCTGAACCTATTTCGATAAAATTTAAAACAGCTATTCCTGTGCTCCATCTTATACTTGGTAAAAAATATCACGGTTGTGGAGTGAATATTACGAATGTATGGGACTAAAACTCTAAATCGGATAAAACATATATATGGTTGCTATATCTATATCTGAACCGATTTTCACTAAATTTGATATACTTGCTTCTAGGCTGAATTTGGTCCGATGTACTAAAATTCAGTCCATTTGGACATATATAGGCCATTTGGTGCACAATTAACCCGAAATCAGATGAAGATATATATGGGAGCTATATCCAAATCTGAACCGATTTCGATAAAATTACAAGCAGCTATTTCTGGGCTGTATATTATATCTGGTACCAAATATCATTCTTGTGGAGTGCATATTACGAATGTGAGAGGCTTAAACACCAAATCGGATGAAAGATATATATGGGAGCTATAGCTATATCTGAACCGATTTTCTCCAAATTTGATATACTTGCTTCTAGGCTCGGTCGAACTCGGTTGGGTGTGCCAAAATTCAGGTAATTTGGACTGATAGTGGACATTTGGTGCACATTTAACCCGAAATCGGATGAAGATATATATGGAAGCTATAGCTGTTTCTGAACCGATTTTCTCCAAATTTTTTGTATTTGCTTTAAGGCTAATCTCGGTCACATGTGCCAAAATTCGGGCCATTTGAGCTGATATTGGCCATTTGGTGGTCAATTAACCCGAAATCGGATGAAGATATATATGGGAGCTATATCCAAATCTGAACCGATTTCGATAAAATTTAAAACAGCTATTTCTGTGCTCCATCTAATACCTGGTACCAAATATCACGGTTGTGGAGTGCATAGTAGGAATGTGAGGGACTTAAAGATCAAATCGGATGAAAGATATATATGGGAGGTATAGCTATATCTGAACCGATTTTCTCCAAATTTGATATACTTGCTTCTAGGCCGAACCCGGTTGGGTGTGCCAAAATTCAGGTAATTTGGACTGATAGTGGATATTTGGTGCACATTTAACCCGAAATCGGATGAAGATATATATGGGAGCTATATCTAAATTTGATCCAATTCTCACCAATTTCAATAGGGTTCGTCCTTGGGCTAAAAAAATATTGTTTGGAAAATTTCATCTCAATCGGATAATAAATGCGACCTGCATTTTGTTCACAAGAATACATGGACAGACGGACGGACGGACGGACAGACGGACTGACATGCATAAATCGACTCAGAAAGTGATTCTATGAAGGTTCTCAAAAGTAACTATGGGTCTATCTCGTTTCCTTCTCCATGTTACAAACAAATGCACAAAGACATAATACCCTTACCACTATGTGGTGTAGGGTATAAAAATCGCATGCGATAAAAATTATGAAAAAAATAAAATAATGTCACAAAATACTACAAAATCTATATTAAAATCATTATTGACACCTTTTTATGCGATTTTTTTTAGATTTTATTCTCTTATGCCAAGAGGGCATTTTAAATTGACAAAATTTGTCAAAATCGGTCCAGCCATTCATGAGCTATATGCATTCTAGCTAACATCCTCTTCCTTTGTATATAAACATTGTAAATATTTCGCTATATATATCCGATATATTTACTATCGGTATTTACGTAATGGTCAGAATTGACCTCTTCGTCTATTTGTGATCTCGCCAGGATTAAAAATATTCGCGGTTTAATGGAAAATTTGACTTTTATTTAACACATATGTTGTGGTCTTTTTCACCCACTAAATATTACCCGATGACCACCAAAATTGGAAGGCTTCTGCCCAGCCCCAAGCTCTATCGCCATGCTAACTTCCGCGTCGATTGGTCTATAATTGTGACCTGTAGGGCAACTGCAAAATCAGGAAAATTTTCCATTTTGGTCCATTTTAACCCCTAAATCTTATGCGATCATCTCCAAAAGAAATAGGGTTCTATTCTGGTCTTAACCCCTCCTCCATTTTCAATTTCGTGAAGATCGGGCCATAATTGCGACCTGTAGAGTGATTACAAATTAACATGGACAGACGGACAGACGGACGGACGGACATACATAGCTAGATCGACTCAGCTCGGCGAGATAGGAAGATCCATATATACTTTCCTATGTGGGAAACCAATATTTCGAGGTGTTACATAATTTTTGGCCCAATCAAACTTATAATACCCCCAACACATAGTGTTGTAGGGTATAAAAACTCATTAAGTTCCTTAAAGGCCGTGCCAAACTATTAATACCTTCCACAATGAGTTATTGAATTTTAGCTAAAGGTCTTCAAAATAAAGTCGATGGTACGATTTGCTGATGCAGTGGTTGTTATCAATTGAGAGATTTAAAATTTTCAAAAAATTGAAAATTCTGTAAAAAATTTGGCTAAAATCTCAAAAATGAGAACAGTACTGAAAATGTGGATAAAGTCATCAGAATACCGAATATCGGGAAGTACCTTTATACGCGGGATATATGAAAATGTGGATTGATATGGCCGTATAATTGTAACTTCTCATATACGGTATTTGACGATTTTAGCCACACGTTCTGTGGTTCAAAATTCGTTTATATATTTGAACCTTTTGAAATGCGTATTTTTTACTATTAAGAGTATATCTACATTTTCTAACGAAGTAATTAAAGATTTGGTATTTAGGGCAGAATATTGTTCATATAAGTCCACCTTCTCTCCACAGCTCGACATTCGGCATTTTGATGATTTTAGCCTCAGTTTATAAGGTAATGATTTAAAATACGGTATTCACAGTTCATAATAGACCCTATTTCCCGTAAGTCCAATTTTTCTACAGGTCCACGTTTTCGTATAGCTCCCATGTAAAGGTACTGCATTGTAATAATTTAAAATTCGGTGTTTATGGTTCATAATGGGTTCTACCTATTGTGAAAGAAAATTGTCTATATAGGTCCAATTTTTTTCCAGCCCTTATCCTACTCATATTCGGTATTTTGATTATTTGTATATCCTACACCACATAGTGGTAAGGGTATTATGTCTTTGTGCATTGGTTTGTAACATGGAAAAGGAAGCGAGATAGAACCATTGTTACTTTTGAGGATCTTCATAGAATCACTTTCTGAGTCTATTTATTATCGGATTAGATTGTGCACCAAAGGGCCAATATAAGTCTAAATGACCTGAATTTTGGCACATCCAACCGTATTCAACGTAGAAGCAAGCACATCATATTTGGTAAAAATCGGTTCAGATATAGCTAGAGCTCCCATATATATGTTTCATCCGATTTGGGGTTTTAAGTGCCTCATGCTCGTAATATGCATAGGACAACAATGATATTTGGTACCAGATTATACCTCTGCCAAATTTTATAGAGATCGGTTCAGATTTTGATATAGCTTCTATATATACCTTCAACCGATTTTGGGTTAATTGTGCACCAAATAGCCAATATCAGTCCAAATGTCCTGAATTTTGGTGAATCTTACCGAATTCAGTCGGTTCAGACAGCTCCCATGTACAGGGTGAGATGAAAAACTGCAACCAACTTCAGACTGCTGTCATTTCTAAGCCACTTGTCCGACAGCTGTAAAAATTATTCCAGTGACAGTTCATAATATTTTTTACAAGTATTTGGTGAGAATTTTCCAGAAAAAAGTTACTCGTGATAGAATTTCTTTATATTTGTGATTGTGT